TAGAAGTAGAGTGCTTCCCTAGGGCGGGTCAGGGAAGTGGCAGGCTCTCGCTCCCTCTCTGGGACTCCGCTGGATAGGGCTGTGTGCCTTTGTGCTGCAGTGAAGGCAGCAGAGCTGCTGGAGGAGGCCTCGCCAGGCGGGGCAGGAGGAAGAGGCAGAGAGAGCGAACGCCATAGCGGAAGAAGAGGAGGATCCTGGGAAGGAGGTCTAGACCCAGGACTGGCCAAGGTAACTAAGTACCCTGGGTGACATAGGTCTCATGGTCTCATTCCTAGGGCAGATCCTCCCCTTCTGCATGTTTGCAGGTGGTGCCATGGCCACAAGTGGGCATGGCGGTTTTGTTTTGTTTTCTGTTATTCCCTACTTTCTCCAATGTCAATGGTTTGTCTCATTGTAACAGTGAGTTCCATAGTCTGCCGGGGAAAGGGAGGGAATTCCTCTCTCTGCTGGGTGCTTCACCTTGCTTACTGGTGGTTTTAATATAGATTGAGAGCTGTAGGCGCTGGAGCTCTTTGTACCTATAATTCAATTCAGCATGCGTTTAAATCTATGGCAAGACTCCCATTGACTTCAGTGGGAGTTGAATTAAGCCCTTACCTAGCACTTTTCAACTATATTATTATGTATTGTTTTGTTAGGAAGAGCTGAGTCTTGAGATTTAGAATTTTGGATGAAAGTGGCTCATCTGTGGGGACTTTCTCAGCTGGCTTGTTGGGGGAAGCTTGTTCTCCAGGGTAATGTTAGTGGTGATCAAAAGCCGCTTCAGCAAAATATTGTCATATTGTATTAAGCCCCGATTCTGCAAACCCGTATGCCTGTATGTTTGCAGGATTGGACCCTAGGTTTGCATAATAGGAATTTAATTTTTAAAAAGGGAAGAGTTAGTCTTCTTTAGTAATGTCCTTATGGGTGCTCTGCTTCAAGTGTGCATATCTTCAATTGGAGATTTTTGCCAGCAGTGTCTGTTTGGGCTGTGCATGCGCCCAAGCTATCCTGATGCCCCTAGGTGCTAAGCGTATACAGGGCTGGAACAGACTAATCGTCCTCAGTTCACTCTCGGCTGCCTCAGCCAGAGATGGAGTGTACAGCTGCATTCACTTGCATGTCTATCTTAACTAGTTTGTAGCCCATTTTGTTCTTTTATAGTTTTTATGTCTTTAATTAGTTAGTGCAGAGCCTTGAGGGGGTTCTGTTAGTCGAGGCTTTTGCCTTCTGCTCGCCCCCCCATTACAGGGCGCTACTTGAAGAAGTCTGCCTTGCTATTGGGGTACGCTGAAGTCCCCATGCTTCAAACATCGACTCACTTGCCAGGAGTCCTTCCCAGCTAGTGACGGCCATTCACGCTATAGCCATTGCCTTGGGGATAGACCCATGGCCAGATCTGCACAAGTTTCAAAAGCTACTCTAGGAGGGACGGGGAGATAAAACGGTGTCTAATGATGGAACACTCCCTCTTCCCAGCTTCAGATCCTGCCCCAGAGATTCCTCCCTCCTATACCGTGGGCTCAGAGGTAACAACACCCTGTCATCCTCCACGGCTTGCTCACCCTCCAGAGGTGAAGCGGTTATGGACTCGGAAGACTTCATCCAGGAGATGCATGAATTCTCCTCAGGGAGAACTTTCTTCTAACTGACCTACCACACCGGAGACCCCCACACTCTTGGAAGGTTTCCACAGAGGCTTGGAAATCAAAGTCCTCTAGTGTGTCTAAGTCGCAGGGTACCCATCGCTCAGTACCAAAGCCTGCCCCTCCCTCCCCCCGGTACCATTAAAACATGAGCAGAATACTAGAGATAAGGACCCTGCACCTAAGAAGTCAGTGCCACCTGCATTGACAATTCATCTGATGTTGGTGCCACTCCCGGTACCGCAGCCTTATTCCTCTGGAGCTCACCAGGTCTAGGCATGAGCCCACACAGGGCTACAGGAGTTCAGATTCTCCAGGGACCCATTTGTCTCTGATGAGCCAGAGTCTCCTCTACTGAGTTCGGTTAGACTCCCAGTACCACAGCCTGTATTAGCGCTGGCACTGCATGGTTCCCCAATACCCCCACAGTCTGACAGGCAGATCCAACATCTGCTCCACCATTATGCTACAAAAATGAGAGTTCTTCAGTCTCTCCTGGAATTATTGAGCCCACGAACACTTTGCGACCTCCACGACCTTGATGAGTTCAACATCCTCCCTGTTATAGCCAGTCCTGGATGCCTCCCTTGTTTTCCTATGAGCCACCTCAATGGGACCCTTGGGCATTATATCACCAGTAATTTCCGAAGGCATCTAGCACTTCCTTTGGAACACCAGAGAGAGTGCTCCCAGGCTTCAAAGATTGCCTCTGTAAATACAGAACTTGACACTTGGAAACAGAGCTCTTGCGAGAATCCAACTGAGAAGTTGACTTTCTTCTCATACGAAGTGAGTTGTTTGGGGCCGTAACCTGCTGCAAACCACTTTACTTAAAGTAACTCTTCCTCCAACACCAAACAGTGGGTTCTGCTGGTTCCTGTCTTCAGATTGTTGTTACATCTTCAACTGCATGGGCTGCAGACTTCATCATTGCCAGCATGAATGAGAAATTAGCAAAGCATCAAAAGCCATGATAGACTCCCTCACAACAGAGTTACTTCAATATTATCCCTTTCCTCTCTAGAGACTGGCTTTGGTTAATGAAATCATCCTCCCTTGCTGGGTGAGCATATGTTTTCCTTTCCCTATTCTAAATTTCAATCGCAGGCTGTCTCTGCAGAGACAGGGCGATAACCATTCCATTCTTACTCGGTAGTAAACATTTATTTTTCTCTTTCACAGCATAGTTCCTGATATGAATATTTTAAACAATAGTGCAGTAATGTAGTTAAGATTGTGGGAGGGTGGAAGATAGACACATGCTGTTGGTCTGGTTCCCCTCTCAGATCTGGAATAACTACATTGAATTCAATGGAGTTACACTGCTGATAGTGAGAGGAGAATCAAACTTTCTGTTGTGTTTCTTTCTTTCTTCTGTTTCTCAGCAAAGTTTGAGAACTCATTTATGTTGGTTTCCTCCAGCACTTCGATTTAAGAAATGGTTGCTTTTACAGCATGCCACAGATTTGGTCTCTTTGTAAAAAGTAATACAGTATGTTGCTCCAAACTATGCGTTTAAGCATGATGGGGGATAGGATTAAAATTCCAAATGATCTGAACAAACTGGAGACATGGTCTGAAGTCAATAGGATGAAATTAAATAAGGACAAATGCAAAGTACTCCACTTAGGAAGGAACAATCAGTTGCACACATACAAAATGGGAAATGACTGCCTAGGAAGGAGTACTGTGGAAAGAGATCTGGGGATAATATTGGATCACAAGCTACACTGTTGACAAAAAAAAGCGAACATCATTCTGGGATGGATTATCAGGAATGTTGCAAGCAGGACACAAAGTAATTCTTCTGCTCTATTCTGTGCTAATTAGGCCTCAACTGGAGTATTGTGCCCAGTTCTGGGCACCACATTTCAGGAAAGATGTTGACCAATTAGAGAAAGTCCAGAGAAGAGCAACAAAAATGATCAAAGGTCTAGAAAACAAGACCTGTGAGGGAAGATTGAAAAGATTGTGTTTGTTTAGTCTGGAAAAGAGAAGGCTGAAGGGGGACATATATTTTCAAGTACGTAAAAAGGTTGTTACAAGGAGGAGGGAGAAAATTGTTCTCTTTAACCTCTGAGAATAGGACAAGAAGCAATGGGCTTAAATTGCGACAAGGAAGATTTAGGTTGGACATTAGGAAAAACTTCCTAACTGTCAGGGTGGTCAAGCACTGGAATAAATTGCCTATGGAGATTGTGGACTCTGTCCTTGGAGATTTTTAATAGCAGGTTAGACAAACATCTGTCAGGTATGGTCTAGATAATACTTAGTCCTGCCTTGAGTGCAGGGACTGGACTAGAAGACTCTCGAGGTCCCTTCCAGTCCTACACTTCTAGGATTCTATGATATATCCAAATGATCAGTCTTGACTTGTATTTGTGTGAAAACATATTGTAGGCATAGAAGGAGTCTGAAGAGAATAATAATACTGCCAAGCAGGGCCAGCTCTAGGTTTTTTTGCTGTGCCACCCCAAGCACGTGCTTGGTTTGCTGGTGCCTAGAGCCGGCCCTGCTGCCAAGCTCTTACATACTGTTTTTGATCTATAGATCTTGAAGCTCCTTACAAGCGAGATCAGTATCATAATCTCCATTTTACAGATGGGGAAACGAAATCACAGAGAGGTGAAGTGACTTGCCCAAGGTCACTCTGTCAGGAGTCAGGCATTAGAATCCGGGTCTCTGGAGTCCCAGTCCAGCGTTCACTAAAGTATGGTGCCTCATCATAATCTGTTGATACGGAGTGATTGTGACTTCCCACTGCCACATCATTTGGAAGCATTCCCTTGATTTGCATCCAGTTGATCATCCCAATGTCCTTTCCAAAGAGGTACATGTCACCTCCTGATTCTGAGGCACTATATAATGGGGCTAGCTAGGCCCTTAACAATAATGAGAGAGGAGGATGGGAACAAATTAGTGATTTAAACAAAGGTCTTTGACTTGCAGTCTAATCTCAGCCATTATGCTGAACCCCTGTGTGGCCTTGGGTAGGTTTCTTTGCCTGAGTTTCCCCACTTGCCAAATTAAGATAATTCATCCCTCTTCAGGTTAATCTAGACTAGGAAAAGTAGCTGAGGTCGGGTTTACTAATATATTTTACCTAACGTGACCTAATCTGGATCTTTCCCCTAGAGTAGATAAAGGTTTTAACACCTTTTACCTCAATTTAGCCTCCCAGGTGGGACTGCTAAATCTAGGTAAATGGCATTAATCTGTGCCTACAGTAGGGAGATGGTCAGGGTTTACTAGCCTTTTCCTAGACTAAAAAAACCCACAGGGTCGTTGTAAGGACTGGCAGTTGTTTGTAAAGTGATTGGATATCGAATAATCGACACTTAGCTCTTATGGAGAGAATTCTTTCATCCGTCAATGTTGAAGTATTTTACAAAAGCAGGAAGGTATTGTAATCCTTATTTTATTGATTTGGAAACTGAGGCACATGCAGCTGGGGAAACTAGTCCGGAGTCACATAGTAGGTCACTGGCAGAGGTGGGAGTAAAAACCCAGGTCTCCTGACTCCCAGTTCAGTGCTCTTCCCACTGGACCACACTGCCACTGACAAAACATGTACAAATTTGTGTTGAGAGAATACCTGATGGTGTGGGGTGGAATATAGGTTGAGTTTGGAATAGTCACATTGCTCATGAATGGGGTAAGCCTGGCAGCATGAATGAACTTATCACCAGAGCAGAAAACCCTAGAGGAGATGATGCGTTTTCTCTGCATGCTTCTCCCTCTCTGTGTTGAACGAGTGAGCAGACTGAGAGTTCTGCTATGAAGTGCCTGTCTCCAGCCCCATCAGCTGGTAGGGTGAGGTTGCAGCAGAGGGAAGGGAGACATGACATTTCTGGGAGGTGATCTGGACTCTAGCTGGATGATGTCTATGGGAAAGGAGGCTAGGGGTTTGCAGGTGGGAGTGGTGGCTGGCTATGCGTGTGGGGAAAGAGCTGTGTAATGGAGTCGGTGGGGGAAAGAGTGTGTGTGAACAAGGTGGTGCTGTGCTGGGGAAGAGGACTGCTAGTGGATCAAAGGAGTTGCTTGCTTATTTTGCCCGCTGCTTGCTCATTTTGCCTGGTTAGTCACGCACGCAAGCCAGCAGCATGTGCACTAAGCATGGGATAACATGGCCCATTCCTCTTTCTCTCTAGCTGTGCCCTGATGTCTGATCCATGCTCAGCCATCTGGAAGGGTAAAGGAAAACCCATGCCAGAGGCTGCAGGGAAAACCAGTAAATTGGCAGTGGAAGTAAGATGCAAATAAGCTGAGCTCCTGCAGTTTCCTGTTTTGCCTTCCCTTAACCAAAGCAGACGGCACCAGAAGTGTTTAGCCATATCAAAAAGAGCTGAACTAGAAGTTTGAATGACTTCCTGCAGCTAATTTCAGCGTCTGGCATGATACCAGCACTGCCTTGATGCTTTGTATCATGGAGTAGCCTGTCATGTGCACATTGGGGACTGTCAGAGACAGATTTTTCTTGAGTTTGTGCAGCTTTGCACCTGGAACATTCAGGGCTTAGAACTCCAGGATGCAATTAAGCAGCATAACTTGTGGATAAACATCTTATTTAGTAAATTGTAGGGGAGGAGGTGTGTTTTGATTACCGCGATATTCCAGCCATGAGGTGCCAGATGACTGATCTACAAGCAGCGTTAGATCTAATTTTAAATAATGTTATCCTGCATTTTCTGAATGTGGAGGAATAATTAGTTGTCAGGTAAGCAGAAGAATTGTCCTACCATACTGTCGATGGAATCAGAAGAGGTCTTGTATTGTATGCGCATATGCTGTGTATATGCACTTGAAGGAATTATACTTCGGTTTTCATTTTTAACACACTCAGACAGTTCTCATCCTGCAATCCCTTGCTCACTCAATTAGTCCCCTGAAAGTCAGTGTGGCTGCTGATGCAAGGGAAGGGAATTGGGAACTTGCATTGCAAAGTTTCACAAGCTGTTAAACGCTCAAGGTTGTTTAGAATAGTCTGCTCCCATATACGTGACTCACTTAAGGTTCCCCACACTTGTCATAAATCAGAAAGAGGCTACCTGTATATATTTGTAATGCATGACTGATCTCCTGTGACATTCATCTCCAACCTTCACTGGTGAGGAGAGACAAGGATAACACACACTTGTGGCGATTCTCTCTCCTTCTCAGGAAGACTAATGTCAGAATGTAGATCAGCCCTCATGTTTTTGATGGATTAATTTCAGGAACGTACATTTATACACATATCAGTACAAGGCTCCCAATCTCAGACTAGAATTTCAAATAGACGGGTTGTTGTGTAAACTGGAAATAATGTAGCTGTTACATTACAAGTAAATAATGGTTGTTAATTTTAGGAGACAGTGGCGCAATTATTGTACTGCAGTGATTTGAGTTGAGTATGAAGTGATTTCTGGTTGCTGTTCAGGGAGCTGGTTTCAAATTCTAAGGCCTTGATTCTGCAAAGCACTTAAGCATGTTTATAGTCCAGCCCTATTCAGTAAAGCATCTTGAGCATGTGCTTAAGTCTCATTAAAATCAATGGGATTTAAGCATGTGTGTAAAGTTAAGCACGTGCTGAAGTGCTTTGCTGAACTTGGACCAGTATTCTAACACGATATGAGGCCTGCCTGTGTGAAGGATCACCTCTCTGCTTTGTAAGACAGTGGCAATGATGACCAGTGTTGGCATTTGAGTGCACTGTCCCCTGGTTTACGCATAGGTGGGATAGTGGGCAGGTTATTTCATGGGAAGAGAAATTGACTTTGGAGTTGGTTTCCTTCCTTGGTCTATCAGAGTCCAAGTCCATTGATTTTTCAGTTATTTTGCAAGGCCTTTCTGTTCTCCCAGGCTTTGGAGAAGAGGGTAGGTTGATGAGACTGAGTCGGCTCCAGAGGGGATGGCGTTTTTTTTTACTCGTAATAGGCTGTTGGGATTCAGCCACTTTATTAGTTTGTCTGTACAGTCTGTTATGCTTTCAAATGTACAGATGTCTATCGAGCAAAAACCCCAAGTAGTGACAATGTTGTTTGAATGTACATTGACACACTCAGGCTGGAATGATTTTCCAGGTGTTTTCTAGTAGGAATAGAAATCTATCCTCCTGTTGTTGTGCCACAGGCATTGTCTCCCTGGGGGTATTTTTAAATTTCAAATAAGAGTTATTCGTACCTGTAAAGCTGGCCACAACCCACCTTGTAATGAAGTTCAAAAGGAGTGAAGTTCTCTTCCTTTGTCTGTACTTACATGGCCCTCATGACAGTAATATCTGAGCGCTTGATCTTTGCAACATCTCTGTGAGGCAGGGAAGTGCTATGATCCCAGTTTTACAAATGGGGGAGCTGAGGCATAGAAAGGTTAAGTGATTTACCCAAGGTCAGACAGGAAGCCTGTGGCAGAACAGGGATTGACCCCTGGTCTCCTAGTCCTAACCACTGGATCTTCCTGCCTCTCTCCTCTTTCTACAGCCTAAACATTCCATTTAGCCTAGAAACTCAAATAGTAGTTTGCAGTCGATGTGGAGCCCTGCATTATTTTTGTCTTACACCATAGTTGGCTGATGCCAGTATTTTAAAAAGAGGTTTAATTTTTTGTATATCAAAGTGGAATGAGGCTCTGCAGGGATCTGGAAACGGAACAAAATTACTGAAGGGATATTGCTACCAACTTTGAAGCCTGCCCTTTCCCTACATCTTGCGGCGTTTAGAGAAGGAATGGGAGAAAAGCCTTTTCTGATTGAGGTGAAAGAGTCTCTGCTTCTCATTTGGCTCTGTAATGTTTTATCCTTCCATCAGTATGCTTTTAGAGCTACCATTTCCACCAATCGCCTTCATTTTCTTTTTGTATCACACAGTGTTTGAAGCAAGATGCCTGCAGAACTGAAGGGGAGAACATCCTGTGTTTTTCCCTTTATAAAACTATAATAGATTGTTTGTGGGATGGGGAATTGAACAACTAGCAGATACTACTGCTGACACACTTCACAGGTACAAAGTACAGACCAGCTTGAATGATGCCAAATAATCCAGGGTTCTACTATGCAATCTAATTGCATAGCAGAGGCCATAAGACAACTGTACAGGGATATGTCCCTGCCAATTCCCCGGGGTCCAATTCTGATTTCAATAGGGCTGTGTGTGGAATAAGATACTACTCTCTGTTGCAGGGCATGTGGAAAAGGAAAAGGAGATCACCCTCCCCAAGCACATTTTAATACCCAGCATCATCACATGACGTCAAAAACTTTATCACTCAGAGACCCGGCCTGCTGATGGGACGTTGCAGTTCATGACGTAGTCGGATTGTGATTTTTATGGCCTATTGGTATCAATGCAATCCCAACTCTTGGGCTGCAGGGTTGCCCTGATAAGGATGGTCTTGCAAATCTCAGGAGAGGCTGCAATCTTCAAGTAGTTATAAGGCACAAACAAATGCTAAGCATGCATCAGCTCTGAAAATCATGTACTAAAATTAATATAACTTCTTATTTTTAAGCAAATAAAAACCTCCTGATGAAGCCTGTGGAAAAACCTTTCCATTGTCTCCAGTGGTGCAGAATCCAGCCCTTATGGAATTGGTCCCACTGGTTTATTCACATATCTAAGGGCTGCAGGATGTTGCCTATGGGGAATTTTTAAAATACTATTAGGTTCAGTGTCTTATACTACTCATCTAGTGAGTGATGTGCAGAAGAGCCTCCTAGACTTTTGATGTTTAACCCAGAGTCCTTAGCGGCATTGATTTAAGTGACAAGCCAGTTCAAGATGAAGTACTCCATTAAATGTAATGCCTGACAAGTATGAACTGCTTTGAGGTTTACTTATGAAAATAATTACTGTAATGGATGGGATGCTGTCCAAATTAACCTTGGTAAAAGGGGACCGCAGTTCTTGAGAAACAACAAAAGCAAAAGTGGGGAGGGGAAGCATAACATGGCACTTAGTGAAATGACAATGTGTCTAACGGACCACATCTGACATTCTGAAGGAGCCGTAATGAATTTAATTTTCAGAGTATCTAGGATGTATTTTCTCATTTTTCCCCTTTTGTCTAGAAAATACCAAATGACAACAGGTACTAACTATTTCTTTTCTATTCATCAATCTAAAAGTCCTCTGAGACAACCCCCCCCCCTTTCAGGATGAAAAGTTGATGCTTTACTTCCCATACTGAAGGCTAGACCTTTGAGCGATGTCCATTTACACCAGCTGAGATTTGGTCCTATGATTGACCCTAAAAAAATAGTTCCGTTGAGTTTAATTGCACCAGTTTACAACAGGCTCGTGAGTGTCCCTGGTTACGTGGTTGTAGGCAGTGGTACTGAATTGCATATTTTCAGCACCTCAGTTTCTCTTGGTGGAAGTTTGCAATCATCCTACTTCCTAATTTTATCTAAGAAAGCCCCCAAACATCTATGGACAAATTCATTTGTGTGTTGCCTGGTAGTTTGGAATGGGGTTACAGTCAAAGAAGACTGTTAAAAATGATATCCTCTTACTGCTCTTTGCTTCCGAAGTTTCTTATGCGTCACATCCATTTAGTTTACTGATTTAAATGCAGACGTTTCCTGCCCTCCTCTCTCGAGTGCTAATGTTGGTGGGGAAGCCATTGTGAAGTGTCTGCATTAGGAAGAACATAGCTTTACTTTCAGGCACTCGGCTGAACTTGGGTCAGATCAGTGTAGCTGCATCGTTTTACACCAGCTGAGGATCTGGGTCTCCTATTGGAACTGTCATCTAATGGCCTGATTCTCCTCTCTCTTAGGCCTGGTCTACATTACAGAGTTTGGTTGATGTAAGGCAGCTTACGTCGACCTAACTCCGTAAGCATCTACGCTACAAAGTTGCTCCCACCGAAGTAATTCGCTCACTACATCAACCTAATAACTCCAGCTCTGTGAGAGGCGTAGCACTTAGGTCGATGTAGTTAGGGCAATGCAGTGTCTGTGTAGACACTGTTACTTACATTGCCTGTTGGCTGTCAGCCCCATGTGGGGCTGACAGCTTGGGGTGGGGGGGCACTTAAGTCTGGTGAGGAGACACATCACCGACAGACGCGCTTCTGGTGAGGAGACACATCACCAACAGAAGGAGGGTAATGTGGACATGAAAAACTGCAGTAATTACTGTGGTGGCTGTACATCGATCTACCTTAGGTCGACTTAATCTTGTAGTGCAGACAAGGCCTTATTCATCTTTCCTCTGTTTTACTTGCGCAGCTTCACAGACTCAAAGAGAAACACTGTTGTTTCCACTAGT